AATGCAATCTGTACAAAATTGTTTTGGACACACCATGTTTGTCTCCTGTTCATGGGTTTATGTTTCCCCATTTTGAATGCCAGTTTCTTGAAGGCAAGTTTTATAGCTCCTCTGTTTTAAGCATCAGCCAGCCACTAAACATTTGTTATCCTGCCTTACAGTAATCATTTAATAAGGGTTATTAACAATTAATATTTTAATGCATTAAAGCTGTTAAGAAATTTTTCTAAGCACATAAAATTTGTTTTAAGAGCATGGAGAAAAAAATCTAATTTTGAAACTTATATTCATTACCAAACACATAACTTAATGTTCTAGGTACCTCCAAATGTTGCCCAGTGAATTGTACTGACTTTGATAATTGAATGAATAATGGCTGAGAAGGGGGTTCTAGTTGAGATAAGGTTTAAAAAGAAGATTTTCAAATGTTTGGACCAGAGTCAATTTTAAGCACACAAATTTTGGGAAAGATTACTTGATTTGTAATTCTGGGTTACAACTAAGTATTTTCATTTATTTTTTTAAATATCATTCATATTTCTGCTCGTATTTATTTATTTATTTATTTGGGGTAACACTAATTCTGAAGACAGTGTGCTAAGAGGTTGTAAAAACTCAGGTGAAAAATTAAGCATATTAAGGGGTCCTGAGGTCTAGAGAGGAGGATGATGTGATTTTAAATTACTTGGCTAGGGTAAGATACAATGGAGAAGAAAACAAGTGAGCACTGATTCAAGAGTGGAGGCATTTGATCAGGTGGATTTCCTGGAAAAAAGAGATTTCCAGATAGCGCAGAGGCTGACAAACTCCAGCTCATGGGCCAAATCTACCTGCTGTCCATTTTGTAAATAAAGTTTTTATTAGTACACAGCAACACTCATTCAGTTATGCATTAGCCATGGCTGCTTTCACAACGAAATGGCAGAATTAAAAAGTTACAACTGAGGCCATATGGAGTGAGTACAAAGCACAAAGTATTTGCACTGCAGCCCTTTAAAGGAAAAGTTTGTTAACCTTTGGTGTTGGAGAACCAACACCGATGAGAAAAAAAGACAGGATCAGATGATAATATTTAGAAAAATTCTTCTGCTCACACACAGAAAATTTGCAGGGGTAGGTCGGGAGATCATCCATTCGTTTGTTTTTGTGAATACGCAGGAATGGATGAGATCACATAATTTGGTGTAAGCTAGCATTCTAGAGAGAATAAATAACCAATAAGTTGATGACACATTGCTTGAGAGGTGATGGAACAGTTAGCTGACACTTTGTGATGGTAGCCTGAGCAAACTAGCACACAGTCCATACCCAAGTTGGGAAAATGAAGTTATTGGCAGGAATGTCAGGCTGAGCCCTAAAAAAGCACCCTGTTGACAGAGACAATTGAAATCTAGTCCAGGTCAATGATAAGACCCAACTTGAAAAAGGCCATTTGGTGGCTGGAGTATGGTGAGGTGGGGTGGTTAAAACTAGAACAGCTAGGTTCCAGTGAATTTTCTAAAAACTCAGGGGAAGAACTTAAGCATGTCATTTAATGGCCTATGAAATCACAAAAAGAAATAGGAGTACTTTTGCACACTGTAGAACTGAGGGTATTTATAGTTTGGGGTTTTTTATTTGTTTCAGTCTTATTTAAAATGAAAGAAATCTGAGCATTTTTTTAGAATAATGAATCATAATTGGAGAAGAAGAAATGTAAGGTTATGACAAAAAAGGAAAGAAAGTATAAGGAGACAATTTTGAGTGAGGAAAAAGGAAAAAAAAATACTCAAAGACACAACAGAAAGAGTATCTATGGGCAAAAGTGACAAGAAAAGGCAGGTTTGAGAAGATACAAAGAGGAAATCGCTGAGACTCATTTCTCTGTGCAGTAGGAAGCGAGAGACACCTCTGACAATCACAGGTACAGGGAGAGGCCTGAGAGGGGAAGCCGTAAGAGGAGAGAATGGGAACTACAGACCTACCCCAAGGGCCACTGCTGGTAGCCACTGTGCCATGCCACTCTTTCTGGAGCAGAGTGACTAGAGATGTGGAGCTTAAGGGATGAGAGCCTTCAGATGTATTTGTGGGGGGCCTGTGAGGGCAAATGGGAGTGGAACAAGGAAGGATGTGGTAAGACAAGCCGGGATGCAACAAGTCAATTAAATTCATTCAGTGACAGTAAATATCACTTGTATCCAGGCCCAGTGGGAAACAGGAACAGTGACACAGCAGAGTCAAGAATGGATCTTTTATTAGGGAGTTGGGTAGAATGGAATTCATTTTACTTATTTGTTTTTAAAAATATTTTAAATTTTAATTTTGACTTATCAAACATCAATAACAGGAGAGGATTTCATTGTGACAATCCACATATGTGTACGGTGTACATTGAACAATTTTGCCACCTCCACTAGAATCCATCTTTAATGCAGGAACAAACAGAAAAGAAACCAGGGCAACCAGCATAGAAATGTTGTCATAGGTTCCATTGAAGAAGAATGTGACCCCATCAAAACTTTGGAGAGAGAATCAAGATGACTTCACATGCAAAACCTCAGAGCACCCAGGCCAGGCTCTCTGCTATCTGCTCTGGTTGTGAGGCTCTTCCAGTGTGTAAAAGGGAAGGTGGAGTAGGGGTATTCTCCAGAGCAGTGCAGAAATGCAATGTCACACATGTTGGAGTGACGTAATGGATAGTGATTTACCTTCAAATTACTTTCATTCTGTGCAGTGATCAGATGGCATATATCAACATTGACTCTTACTAGTGATCTAAAACATTAATTTCTTTGTACAGTAAACAACAATGCCATGCCTATCAGGACCGTGCTAAACAATAAGTTGGCTCTTCTCCTGCACACATGACATCACCTTGTTCCCAAATGGAAAGAGTTCCAACAGAGGTTTAATGCAATCTCCACACCTGGCCAGCCAGAGGTCTCTGAGACACACATAAGGCAACAGCCAGTTCTGGCTCACCCCATGGCCTGAACTGTTTCCTGAGGATACTCTTAAGGTTTCACTCTTGGGATAAGAAAGCGATGATGGAAATGATTGTGCTTTACTTTGGTTTTGGGCAACTCTAATTACCATGTCTATAATCCTGTGTGGTGACTCGTAACTATAATCCTCGCTACTTGGATGAAGGCTGATATTGCATTTTGAGGCCAGTTCATGAAAATGGTGATGAGACTCCCACCTCCAAAATAACCACAGCAAGTGGACAGGAAATGTGGCTCAAGCAGTAAAGTGCCTGCTTTGAAAGCACATAGCCCTGAGTTCAAACCCCAGTTCCATCAAAAAAAAAAACCTTTGGTAGGAGGTTTCAGCTGGGTACTTTGCTTGGACAGTAAAAATTGATAATGAATAGAAAGGCTACATAGATAAAAGCTTCAAGGCCAAAAGAGGAGTCCGCAGAGCCTTGATGGATTCAGATAAAACCAGCTCAAGAGAGACAATGTTAAAGCCAGAAATCCAATGAATGCCTCAGCTTGGGAAAACACTCTTGTTTTCTTGCCCTTTGTAAGCAACAGTCATTCAACTTACTTGAGGAACTGAGTGATGACATCCTTTTCTTTATAGGTTTTTTTTTTTAAAGATAAATGAGGACTTTGGTTGATTCTATTATTTGGCAAAATACTTGTACACATATTTGTATATAAAATCACAAAAAAGGTAAATGTGAATGATTGATAGGCCAAAACTAGGAGTTATCAATTCAGAGCAATTTTTTCTGGGGAATATTTGGAAATTCCTGGAGATTTTTTTGTTCTCACAGCAGATTGGAGCAGGGATATTATTAGCTTCTAATGGGTATAGGTCAGGATGACACTAAACATCCTCCAATAAAGGCAATGTCTTCCTTATAACAAAGAATTATGTAGCTCCCAGATCAGAACTGCTGAGGGTAAGAAACCCTGATCCACATAACACACTTGCACTGGGCAAAAGGCCACAAATCTGTACATCCATAAAAACCAAAACACTAGATTTCACAATGGCAAACTAAAGATTACATCTTTGTGCAAAGTATCAAGTAAACCCTGAGGCAATGAATTACACCTGGAGCCCAGATGTGAATTGTGGGTGTGTGTGGCCACACTCGACCATGAATGTACGCACAGACACAGGCTTGAACTCCAGCTAGTGCACATCGAGATTTTGTACACAGTCAACCTCAGCTTCTTTGGATGGCACCATCTTTTGGTTGCACAATGAGCAGATAATGAAGCTCTGACTCAGAACTGAAGCACTCCCTCCTAGAGTTTCTAATTTGTTAAAAGAAAAATGACACAAGTAGTATGGCACTTCTTCCAGAGGAGATTGGCACATCTAGATACAAAACCTAAAACTGGCGCAGTGATTTTACATCCATGAGCTGCGTACAGCTAACTTGGGACAGGGCATATGCTGCCAGACTGTGGATGTCAGAGGCAGAAGCGACACAACTTGGGTCCCTATTAACTCCTAAGGCATTGAATTAAACTCTGAAGATACCTACCACAAACAGCTACCTGTGGTCAAATGCATTCTTTTACACTGTCTGAGAATAACATGAAATAGTAACATGAAATAGTAGTAATTAATGTTTCAAAATATATTATAGAGAAGTTAAGCAGGGGGTGTGGTTCAAGGGATCAAGCACCTAGCAAGCATGAGGCCAAGTTCAAAGCCCAGTACTATCAAAAAAGAAAGAAACAAAGAGAAGGAAATAATAAAAAAAAAAAAAAGAAAACACATGAGTCGACACATATGTACTGTTGACATCAAATTTTGTAGACTTCAAGCAGTAATATAGAAAAATAGCTTAATACTGAAGAACAGCAGCATCAGCGATAGCCCATCGTCATGGTAGGCAGAGTTGGAATATCACTGCTCTTGCAGTCTTCAGGACTAAGCAGGTTGTACTTTGAATTTCTTAGAAAATTGAAGCTCGTGTTTCCTTTAGACAGTGCATCAGTTTGTTTTCAAGCACCGAACGATCAGGTGTCACGAAGCCATGGCATGCGAAGGCTTACCATTTAGCCATTTGGAGTTGTACTGTGCAGTACGCAGAGGGGGCAAAGTGCCAAGACTTCGGTAAATGGCAGGATCACGGCCTGGGAAATCCATGGCTGTCGCAGCGTAGAGCTCCCCACTGGCTGTAAGCAGAGCTGTGGAATTGTGCTGGGGACTGTACGGGCAGCGGGCCATGCCACTGATCTGATCATGGATCTCAGTCAGGTTACTCAGCTGTTGGCAAAGAGAAAAAGAAAACCAATTATCCCCCAAGAAAACCCCTTTAATGGTGCTAATGGATTACATTGTCCATATCTGCAAGTGACATGTGGGCAGCAAGCACTCTGGGACTGAAGAAAGATGACAAACTTTCATACTCTGACTTTATGAAATCAGCCTGCTGTGATAGATAGAAAATCTATCAATCGCTCTGTTTTCCTCATCCTTCAGAGTTATGGAACCTCATACTATTGATACTCATAAAATGTGAAGTAATATTATTGTACCTATGGCTCTGATTTATAATGCATGAGTTCTGGCTCTCATTCACTTTAATAAAGAACCCAACTTCAATATTCATAGATACATAAATCACAACAAAGAATTACGTACAATTTTATGAACATAAGTGAATCAAAAGATTATGAATAGACCTAAGTACTGCTTAGGGATAAGGATATGGGTATATTCAGCATGATGTATACACATTTCCCATATTTTTTATTTCCTTCAGTCTTGAGAAAACCATCTTGGTAACCAGAAGTCACCTTGTATAAATCTGACTTCCCAAATGTTGGTTCCCAACCAATCATTGAACAAGCAAACTTGTTTGGGAATGGGGAAAATCCTGACATGAATCAATTTGGTTTTTGACTCTCAACTGAATGAATTAATAGTTCAACACTTTCAAGTAGAAGGAGGCAGATACAGTGCTGGATCTACAGTAGGATATGTAGCTCTGAAAAAGTTGCCTATACACTTTATGTTTTGGGTTCTTCCTTTATCATACAGGACTCATAGGGTAGATACTGAAGATCACAGTCAATGTGAAGCGCTCAGAGCAGGGGATGAAAACCAGGAGCTTTCTGAGAGCATCAGCTCATATCACCCTCTTCTTCTTCCCTTTGTGTTCAATAACTGAACATTAACTTTAAAATAATGACCAGTAAAAACAGATGAGGAGAGAATTAAGGTTTGGAGAGAATTTGTACTACCAGGAAATTAACATAATGGTGTTTCCTCCTTATATTTTCCAAGGAGGATTAAATTAATGTTCTGAATTAGGAAGATAACATGCATGCCTGATGACCCCACTATGCTTCTGATATGGCAGGCTGAAAATTCTTGTGTCTATAAAAACAGGTTAAAGAGGAAATAAAGAATCAGTTATAACTTCACTTCACCTTTGTTTACATATTTCATTTTATTTTTGAAATGTTTCTTATCCAATCTGTGGATTATATTTTCTTTCTTTGGATTGTGACTTTAGACCATTTTAATATTTAACAGTATCTCTATCATAAAGCAGACCAAGAAAAGCAAGGATATGTACATGATTAATGTTTATGGTTGCTGGTAGGTAAATGCTGATTGAAATAGTTTAGAAACATTTACATTTAATTATATAAAGATATAATTATTTCTGGTTCTTTATATAATTTACATTCCTGATTAGAAATAGACAAATCAAGCATTTACTCAATTTTGCAAAAGGTATCTTTAAATTGAAGAGCAATTCTTTGGTGTATAGAAATGCATTTAAAACTAGTCTTAGTGCAATGTTTGGCTTCTCCTGGTGTCAGTTCCGTTGATGCTCAAAGTGGAGCCATACCGAGCGGTTGGTGCAGACAGGTGTGAAAGCATTGGTGCCACAGGTGAATAACCGGTCTCCACCCACCAAGAGAACCCGGATATAGTTTTGACATTCTTCCTGGAAAAAAAATCACAAGAAACCTATTAGCAATGTCTGAACACAAAAGGACTAGTGAGTATGAATGCATTTTGTTGGGCTAATTAAAAAACATACACACACACACATATATATCTGTATATATACATATACATATATACATATACAGATACAGATATATATGTGTGTCTATACATATCTCAGATACTGACCAAAGGTAGCAGCAAAGCTGTTAATCTGATTTTCCAGGTCTACACTCTTGTTCAATAGAGTACTTATAAAGATAAATGTATGTTCAATTTAATTCTCATCAAGTATGTGTCCACTTTTGACAAACATGAGATCATTTTCAATTGCCGTACACCCTCTAAATTTTCTTGGGCACACATTAGGAAGATATAGAAAAGGTGCCTTGGAGATCTTATCCAGGACTTCATAAAAATGTTGCAATGCTTCTCCACTAAGAAGGCCAAGTGTGAAACTGTTACAAATTAGAACAAGTTTTTCTTTATGGGCTCAAAAGGAACAATTATATACATGCAAAGAAGAATGTCATAATGAAACAGATTATGCTGTACAATTGATATATACTAAAAACTGCATTAAATGCATAGAAAAAATCCATAGACACTTTTAATCTTTGACAAGAAAATGCTAATTAGTAAGGACAGGTGGTTCATAGCGTTGGGACTGTACCCTATGTTCAGTGATAAACCGGAGGAGAGTGTCTTCATAGTTGCAAAGCCATCATAGGAAATCCAAGGTATGACCTGACATTGATGAAGATGTCGCTAGAAGACTCATCATTCAGTCAGCAAGCACTTACTAATCACCTAGCCACTGGATAGCACAGTACTAGAAGTCACTATTTAGGAAGAAATATTAAAATAGAGAGCTATAAAATTTACTATAGATTTGTTCACATGCTACAATGAGGAAGCATGGGAGGATGCTTAGCACCCAACTCCAAGGTAGAAGGGAAGGAAAGAGGTACAGAAGGCTTTCTGGAGGAGCCGAAACCTCTGATAAATTTCAAGGCAAGTGTAGGAATTGGTGAGGCTTCCTAGAGTGGGTGCTTATGGGGCTTTATTGAGCAAAGGAGGGAAAAAGAGGAGAAAGAACTGCCAGGCCTGGGTAATGGACTGTCCGTGGGCATGGACCAATTAAAAGCACAGTGCTTTAGCTATATATAGAAAAGGCAATGCATAAGCTGGGAAGCCAGACCCAGGCTCTTTAGGCCACACTGGTGGGTGTGCATTTAACTCTGAAGTGAAGGAAGGGCCCATTAAATGTTTTTACTGCATAAAGTTTGGAATGAATCGCAAGTCTGTCATGAAGGACTACTCAGGCAGGATCAGTGTGGAGATGAACTGACATGGGGAGACTGAAGTCAGAGAGGTAAGCAGCAAAGCCAATTCCATGATTCTGTAGCTTGTCACCTTGTGTCTAGACCAAGGTGGCTGGTGTGAAAGAACAAAGCTAGAATTTAGCAAATAGACAGGATGTGGTGATTGGATGCATATGATTTCCCACGGTGCTAGGATGCTTGAAATCATATGGTGTTCAGAATCCCAACATGTGGATTCAGAGGTATACCAACCTGCACTTCCACCACCTGGAGCCCCAGTCTCAGTGACAGTGCAGATTTGCACAACTCAGGCTGCTGCACAGCCTGGCTCTGACAATGAAAAGTGCTCACACATTTGAATTTGCCTTCTAAATATGAAGTGAAATATCAAGGGTTTGTAATTATCCTAATACCAATGTTAACAATAATAGCAACAAGTTATATTAGCTGCTAGACTGAGGAAGAAAAAAAGCATAAACATATAAGTTAGCTAGCAGAAGACTTCAGAAATAAGTATAAAGAGTCAGTAGTAAACTGGGTAATTGAGAATGGATTCCAAGTCAGGGGAAGGCACTTTGTTTTGTTTTCTAGTGTTTCTGTAACTGGGAAAAGGGCAGGAAAGTTCCAAAATGGAAAACAAAGGATTTCAAAGGACCACATAGGGAGCCCTTCCCAGGTTGAGAACAGGGCAGAAATTTCCACCTAAAAGAACAGAGATCCCGGAGTTTGTGAGAGGATGGAAACAGGAACCTTATGCCTGCCTGTAGGAAGAGCCTCCATAATGACACCTTCCAGAACACAGGGCTGAAAGCTCTTGAAGGCCATAATGGATAACACAAATATGACAATGGCCCCATAGTAAAGACTGGGCTGGGAAATTACAAACAGTGCAGAGGGGAGGATTTTGTCCAATTTTTGCTGTTGCTTTTAGAACTCTTTCAAGAACAAGGCAAGATGTAAAAGAGAATGCCACAAGGTATAAGTACTCTAGAGACAGTTAAACAATCATGAACAACATGGTCAGGGGAAAATTATTCCAGAAAATCATCTCTATTAAAAAGACATGATCTCATGGCTGAATTCTACAGACCTGGTAAAGAGTATAAAAGTGATCTAGTCAATTATGGAAGGGGAACAATCAAGACAGCAGATGGGAATGTTTATCTTAATCTCTCAAGAGAAGAACAATGTGTAAATGAGATTGTAGGTTACAACATTCCTGAAGACACAACAATAACCTGATGGAGACCCAGAAAGCTGGTTGGGTTGTGGGATAATCAGGATGCAGAAGTGTGTATGCCAGTGAGAGGCAGGGCAAATGTATGTGGTAGTTGGAAAATCAAAGCAAAAGGAAATGACGGAGGATACAGAATTATTTCATCTGGTGCCATGAATAAGAGAGTATGTTCTGATAATCAATGTCATGTGAGAATACACTCAGCTGCTGTACAGATAGCTTTCCATAGCTGAGTGTCAGGAAGGAAGGAAGGAAAACATGTTGGAAATCAGGACAGCCAGACAAGGAGGCTGGTGCAGAATTTTTTTAAAAGGGTGGATGATGGACTCAGCCCTGTGGAACCCAGAAGAGCCTACAATGGATGGACCCTAATGAGGGCAATACAGAACCCAGTATTAAATAAAGTTCTGATTTTACAAGGTGCAGGAGAGTGAGGAGGACAGATGAGCTGTCACCAGTGAAGCCAGCCAAGGTGTACCATCCATGGGTCCTTCAAGAGCAACCTGTGGAGTCAGGTGGCAACCCTGTGTCTTTTCTCCATCAAGAGATGAGCTCCCCCAGGTGGGTAGCTCAGCTCAGCTCATGACCTTACTGCTGCACTCTCTTACAAGTTCCCTCATGTGTAATTCACAAACTCCCTCATCTGATCCTAAAAGCAGTTTGGATGTCAATTGAAATATTAATATATTTAAAATAGTATCTTATTTTAGAGATTGGGGCAAGTTCAAGCAAAACAAAACAGAAAGACAGAAAAGGAAGAAAATGGAGGTACTTAGCTTTTGAGCACAAGAAAAATTTAGGAACTGGAGAGTGAAGATTAAGAAGGAATGGAAGTGGCCCAGTGCAAGGCTATGTAATTATTAATTTGCACCTATGGTGATTCCAAGACTTGAATTCTCCAATGGAAGGTTCACTGGCAAATTGCTTTGTTAACCCTGGCTATGAACTCAGTCTTCTTGGGTTGTCTGAACTTCCTTGAAATACTGCTTGGAATAACCACTTCAAAATATGGGCTTAGTGTATGCAGAAGCCCCATTAGGAATTCTTTTAAAGGTTTCACTTATAAATCAGCATACTGAAATGTCTATGGTTTTCCTTTTGTCATCTAAGAATTTTTCTTTTGTTCTACTTCTATACCTTGAAAATAGGTTAAAAGCATCTGATGAGTTCTGATTTTCCAAAACGTCATGTGTGCATCTCTAAGGCCACTAGCAGCCTACTGCCACATGGCTTCTATACTTATAATGAGAGTCATCCATCCACATTTCGACAATACCACTTGAACATTAAAACAACCCGTGTGTGCCTGTGATCTACAGACAGGTCAATTTGTCCTTGACTTCCAGACAATTCTTATTTGAATTGATAGAAGAGGCACATGGTCCGTGACCTACAGAAAGGTCTTTATGATGGGGGCCAGCCAAGGCCCACTTAGTCTGAAAGACAAGGTCCCAGTACCATGACAGAAAACAAGTGCATGTTGTAGGGCTGTTTTCTTAATGAATATAATAGCTTGCCTTATAGCATTTCATATTGTGCTTTTGTTTTTGTTTTTATTTTTATGCTTTTTTAAAAACAGGTCTGTTCTGCTTACAAAGATTACATAGCTATGAACAAAGGTGACCTGCAAACAGGGTGTAACCCTTGGTTATCTCCTCAATAACACCTAGCCAATCACTCATCCATCAATTTAAGGAGGAGGGAAAAGACCTGGAAGCTGACAGTTTTATGATAACCCCAATGCTCCTGGTGAAAACAATGAGTCTTTCTCTTAATGATCTATTACCTCTGTGAGCATTTAAAGTGCTGAAGGGAAGGAATTTGTAATTGCATGTGACCTTTCAAAGTTGGTTGCACATCAACCAAACTCATGATTACCAGGTGACCCTCAAAAAACCATATTCTATCAGGTGTGTCTTAAATATGTGTTTAGGTATATAGATATTACAGATGCAGTAAAAGATTGTCTCTAAGTGTTCATGGGGATAGGTCCTGAGACACCCAGTGGACACTAAGATCACCCAGTGGATACCAAGATCACCCAGTGCATACCACCCTCATATAAAATGATATAGAATGACTCTACTCCATACATGTCTTCCTATGAATCATCATTAGATTGTTTTAATACATAATACAAGGTAAACACTATGTAAATAGTTGCTGTGTTGTTGACGGAAGGATGACAAGAAAAAATACGTCTGTACATGTTCAGGACAGAGGCAAACATCATAAGCATAACCACACTGAATACCATCCACAGTTGATTGAATTGGAAATGAGGAACCCATGGATGTGAAAGGCTGACTGTGTGCAAATTTGGAAATGGAGATAAATATACACACACATATATAAAATTGTATTTCATGGGCTGTGTAATGTATGGTGAGTGTGTACATTAAAATATACTTTATATGTATATTCTGTGACTATCTTCAACTGAGCTAAGTCCATAGAAAATGTGTTTGAGCACATCGATTTAAAAGAACAAATTTGGTATGCACAATTTGAACAAGAATTTAGTATCTAAACTAAAATGTCCTCAACTTTTAAAGCAATTATATAGAATACAGCAGATCTATAGTGTGTTACATACTCCGATTAACTCATAGCTTTAAAAAAATTTGACACTTGAGGTAAAAGTGTCAAGATTCAGCTCTCCATCCCCAAGATCCCAGGCAAGGAGATGTCCTGTCATTTCTTTTGTTAGCCACAAGGAGTTTGCAACTTCACTAGCATAATTTGGCAACTTGGGAAGTAGGACCACAGGATATAGCAGGGAGACAATACATAGAACTCCGGATTCTAATTGGAACTCCCCCACTAACTGGTAAAATAATTCTAAGAACTTTGTATCAAAACTCCTGAAATGAGATCATGAATAAGAGCCTTTTGAAAATTATAAAGTGTTATAAAAGCACAAAGCAAGTCTTTCATTCACTTAATAATCAGTTGTGTTTCCTTTGTAAAGTTTCTAAATGCCGTGGTAGGAGGAACTTTGTTCCAGATGTAAGAACCAGAAACAGACAAGCAACTCTTGTTAGCTGGTGAGACAATTGACTGTTTGTGTCTAAAATAATATTTGTGTGAAATACATTCAAATAGTTCTAGAGTTTGATTTCTATAATGCTATTCCAAAAAGAACTAAATGCAAAAGATCTTATTATAATAAGATTTGCATCCATAGAAACAGATCCTTTTCCCCTGTAACATGTCATGTTTAAGCCACTGGAGACACAGTGAGTTGGAACATTTTATAAGCCAATTAGAACTCAAACTCATACAGAAATGGCAGTCTTGGTAGCTACCTTCTTTTCAAGCTCTTCCTAAATCAAAAAAGATTTGATCAGTTTTCTTGACCCTAAGTCCCTATATCGTAAATTTCACACATTCCCCATGAAATGATGACTACTAGCCCAGGAACACCAGCTACCAGGATGAGAGTTGTCATCTTTATTGCCCAGAGCTCTACAGTCATTTGAGGAATGTTCTCATCCAAGATGTACGTGGGCACGGTCCGCGTCCCTCCTGCAGTCCTGGCCACCTTCCCCCACGCATTGTTTTCTTACTGTTCCTCAGTAGAATGCATTATGTAGTATAGCACAGATTGCTTCTTGGTGGGCAGGAATGCAATGAGTTCAGTTTAAATGGCTGGGATTTTTCGAATTTTTGAGATGTCACATTTTGAATTATTCTTTTTATTTCGGGGAGAAGGGAACCTTTATAATTCTGTGTATGTTATCAAAATACTAGAATACAAGCAAAAATACAAAATGCTTAAATTCTCCTTTTAAACTCATCACCACAAAGAAAGGTTCCAAATCCAAACCTTCAAAAAGATATTGCATTCCAGTCAAATCGACTGAAAATGTTATCTGATTTTGCTCTTTAGAATCTTCAAAAAAGGGAAGTTTATATTGTTTGAATTCTAAATTCCAGCCATTCAACTGGCTGAGATTTGTGTACTTTCTCCTTTTCCAGGGCTGCCTTATTTCCTTCCTTTCTCTATCTTTGCAGTCACTGATGCAGTGACCATTTTAAGAAAGCAAAGAAGTGAAATAAGAAAAGATGAGTTGCCAAGAAGGATGAAGAGCCTCTCTCACCCACCATGGACCAGGCTGCAGGGCTTTCTACTCCAGGATGTTTTAGAAGCTACCAGCTCATTTTGTTCATGTGAATTCCCATTGAATAGAAATGGGATATCATTACGTTGCTGGACTCCAGCAATTCTCCTGCTCATCCATGGGGTCCTATGGATGAGCCACCACACCCAGCTCTTTGTAAACCAAATTCTATTTCAATGGAACAGAGGCTATTTAGAACTTTAGGTGAATATCAATATACTTAATGCAACCTAGAAGAAAATGTGATTTATCTTTCTCAGAGTATATGGTGCTAAAAATTAATTTTAATTTGTCTTGCCATGTTAGTCTTAAGAAAATCCAACCCACATAGTTTGAATCAATTTATAATTACCAAGATTTTCCTTTTCTCTTAACCCATTAAATCAAAATTATATGAAATGTAAAGTGATGATATTTGACAACATTTGTTATATTCGATTTCCTTCCTTGTTGTAGGAAAACTCCATAAAGCATAGTGCTGGTTGGTCCCTTCAGTGAATCAAGGGTATAGTTTTCCTTGTGGAAAGAACAGCACCTGTTCCCCATGCCACAACTGGTGAGGGGAGATATGAGTGTTGTGACAAATGCCAGTTAAAAAGTACATCACTCAAGCTTTTCTACATGATTTATAAAACTCACTTCCTACTGCTTTAAATGAGTTTTGGGAAATTCAGTGATTAAGGTTGCTAAGACCTGTCTAAATATCTAATATCAAGGAAGCAGGCAGTGGAACTGAGTAAAGTAAAGTACATCACATTCTTCTGTAAACAAACAAAGTAGGAGGAAGATTTGCTAACAATTCTTACATGGGCCAACACTGGGCAGCAAGCCCTTGTGCTACTCTGTATGTACCTGCTACCTTCTGTAAACCAAAATGCAAGTCACCACTGAAAAGGCCCACAGTCAGGAAAGTAAGGTCACTAACAGAACAAGGCTTAATCAGCCTGCACACTGGTTGTAGGGGAATTTCTTCTAGAGACTCAAAGGCGATTGACCCAAAGTCACATAGACTTCTTTGAAAACCAGACTCCTGTCTATTAGTGGGCCCAACAGTTGCATGAAAGAAAGTAGGCCTATAAGAATGTCAACAATGAATTTTCACCCTCAGCCAAACAGTGCTCTTCCCATGGGAAGTGTTTATTTCAAGGGTAAATCATAAAACATGATCACAAATTATTTTTGATGTTGCAATTTTATTGGGCTGGTGATCTGTCTCAGTGTAGACTATTTGCCTAGCATGTACAAGATCTCAATCCTCAGGATCACAAAAATATATGTTTGTAATCTAACTCTTTCTGGAATTACCTAAATATATGAAAGAAAGAAATTAAAATATTTATTGTTATTATTTTGGCAGTTGTAGAGTTTGAACCTAATGCTTCATGATTGCAAGACAGGAGCTCTAGCACTTGAGCTTTACCTCCAGCTCTAAAATATTATTTTTAAAATTCGTATACATTTTGTTTCAGACAATGTCATAATTAATTCCATAATTTATTCTAATGACTAAAAATGCAAATGAGATCTGATCTTACATTCTTTTCTTCTGTGAAAATGATTGGTTGTTCTGGTTACTTTCATTTAGTGTTAAAAACGTGATCATTTCTGTATGCTTGTTTTCTTTTCTTTTTTGTTTTTTTTTGTACTGAACAGGGCATCATATGGTTAGTAATCAACACAGGGTGGGGTGTCTATGCATGGTTGTATCCCTCTTACCTCTGATTTGCCCTTGCTGTAACAAGCCTTCTTGGTAGCTTCATCACACTCCCACTCCACAGCCTGCAGAAAACACCAAAGCAACAGAAACTATTATGGTTTTGACTGAGAAAAAGGAAAAAAAAAAGAGAGACAAAGAAGGCACTGATAACTAGATCAGGCCTGATGGGTACACCCTGGCACCAACACTGTCATACAGACACAGAATTTACACCGAATACAGAAGTCCAGTCATAGACTTACATTTGGCTTTAAAACCAAGGCATTTATAGGATTCAAACCCTGAGTATTTCCTTCTTAATGCTAATAATGGGGCATGTATATTTAGTCACTGTTAGAAAGTCAGGTACAGTGAGCACCAGCACTGTTCACAAAGGATTACTTCAGGAAAGTCATGGGACAGAACCAACAGAGGCTGAAAGAAGAGACCACAGATAAAAATGATCTGAATGTTCATTCAAGCCTGTAGCAGTTATTGTAACAGTATGACATTCTTCAATATGCACAGAAACAAGTGAGAATGGCTCTGCATATCCTAATTACCAAATATGGCAATACAGGACAGTCAATAAACAAATAGCTCATGCGAAAATACAACTACTATTTCCTCCCAATACCAGCAATTTTCTTCCTCTTATTAGCCTTGACTAAATATTTAGAGCTAGGCCTTTTGATTAATTTTTCTCAGACCTTCCAAGACTAACTCATGTAGACCGATTTTAATATATGTATTTTCACATCTGCAATCACAAAAGGAATGCATACTTAGTTGAGATAACAGATGGCACTTGCTTTCCAGGAAGAAAGGTTATTCACATGCTAATCTACTAAGATTAATAATTTTGACCAACTTTAAGCATCTGAGTTGTTTTCTTTTTCTATTATTGTATGGTGTGTGAAATGTACAGGGTAATTTTTCCTCATCTGCTATTGCAATTATTTTCAGTCATACTCTTAAAAATGAATTTCTGCAGAATCTCAGGTGTGCTCCAGTTAAGTCATTATCAGAAAACATCTCAGTGAGTGGCAGTTCACTAGTTTGTCAAATAATAAACTGAACTAAACCAAATATAAACTAATGTCAAGTTATATGGAGAAAAATACTGTCTTTAATCAAAATGGCTTTTATCAAGAAATAAACAAATCCTGGTGAGGACAAAGTGGACAAAGGAACCCTTATACACTGTTGGTGGGAATGTAAACTAGTGCAAAGATACTGATGGAAGTCAGTATGGGGGTAACTCAAGAAACCCAAAATAGAACTATACCACTCCTAGGCATAGACCCAAAGAGATGCAACTGAGCACATAACAGAGATATCTACACATGCATATTTATTGTGACAAAATTCACAATAGCCAAGCTATGGAATCAGTATATGTGCCCATTAATACATGAATGTGGTTTATATGTACAATGTGGTTTATATATACCATGGAGTATTATCTATTCATAAAGAAATAGGAAATTGTGTCATTTGCAGGAAAATGGATAGAATTCTAGACCATCACATTAAGCAAAATAAGCCACTCAGAGAAACATTCATGTTTTATCTCATATGTGGAATCTGCATCTAAAAAAAGGAAGGGACATGAACACGAGAGAGGAATTGTTTGGGACAAACCGGTGAAGAGGGAGTAAACAGAAAGGGTGGTGGGGTGAATATGACCCCCATTCGTCTATGAAGATGCTATTATGAAACCCATTCAAACTGTAATAGAAAACACTTGTTTTACCCTTATTGGCAGTAAGATTTTTTTTCTAATTCCCCAAAACTTGGGAGAATAATAAAGTTAGGCTAACACCATATGTCCTATCTGCTGTCTCCAAAGAATGTTATATAACAGAGATTGACTCATAACACACTGCATCTTGGGTAACTTATCTTTCTTGGCAAACATGAGGGATAAGATAAGTATTCCAGAGTGAACCACTTCAGTGTCTTTAAAATAAAAACAAGACTGTAACTGTTTTCCCTTGTGCAGACTTAGAGATTTTTGAAAGCATCAACAGCTGATAAGAGAATTTCTCAATCTTTTCTGTGATGTTTTCCTGTGCTTAGTGCCGATGGTAACAGTGAAGTTATAACTTATCAACCTCTGATGCAAACAGCAGCCTTGAATTCCATCCAGGATGAAATTCCATAAAAATTGAAGATAGAGGCGGGTGCTTCACATACAGTGTGGTGCCTACATATCCCCAGGAACAACACACAAATAAAGTTAATGAAACAAACTTTGTGGTAATCTGATTTGATCTCTAATATATTCCTTTCTTAGATCTCTTTATAAAAGCTCACTCTTGTTTTTATTTAAAGACATCCAGAACTTTGCCTTCATTTAAACTTAAAACAGGATTGATACACTATGAAAAGTTCTATCAGCAGAGTGGACCTCATTATAACTTTATTTTATATTACCAGAGGGTCTAGTGTTATATATCATAACAAGGAAATAGTTTTGTATAATTATGAGTGAAACTATATTGTCAAATACTTTAGAGAAGCATTCAAGAATTGTCACAATGGATCCCCCTGTACAGTGAATATAAACTTATTTTAAAAATAAAGAAGCATTCACATGGCCTCATTGTTCTGTGATTTTGTTAAAAGTTGAATATTAATAGTCTCTTCAGTAAACATAAGAGTTTTGAGGAGCAGGGTTAGTCCCAGGATTAAGGGAGAAGAATATTTATCAAATGTCATCAAAATTGATTAGCTCCTGCTGCTGCATGGCAAACAAACAGCTTCCTAATTCTACCTCGTGCTCAAGTGGCCTTTGCATTTTGAGGATAAATATTAGCCAAGGGGTGGGAGAGCAAAGTAATAGAAAAAGGAATGTGAGAATTTTCATAAATATTTCATTACTTTATCCAGAGTACAGAGAAATAGCAACTGCTCTCACAAGTTTATTAGACCAATAGAAAATAGGACAAATCTTATAAATTTTTCTGAAGACAGTTATTAAAAGTAGAGAAGTTCATTTTATAAAGCATTTTCATTATGGTATTGCTACTATGCCAATAATATTCAAATCCAGAATTAATCAAAGACCATGGTTATATAAGTTTTCTGTAAGTTTGATTTCTACCCAAATAAAAGACAAGATAAAGGGAAATTTTATATTAAGAATGGAACTTTACCTATGGAAGGTAGTAACAAGAGAGGACACATATTATTAGATACTATGGAACAGTAAGGGGAATGAAGTGAGAGTTGGTGACCTTTCCAAAGTACATTAGACTTGAGAGTTCCACATAGTGTTTGTCTTTTCTGGATGACTTGACAGCAATGGGAAAAAAATAATGCTTCCTTAAGAGACAAATGCAGATATCAACACAAGTTTGTTGCATTAGATCTTATTTCTCAAAGTAATTCATCCTTTTGAGCTTAGCTTCTTTTAAATCTGGTCCTAACTTCCATTACTGTAGTGCATCTATTCAAGTCAACGAGAGACCTTTTAAAGAAGCCTTCTTTTACTAGTTTTAGTGAAACTTGTTATTATTACATACAGCATTATTTTGAGACAAAATCTAGTATTGATTTGAGAAGCTATCTTCATGTTTGTCTTCAAATTCATTTCAGCCACTTGTCTACCCACCCAAACCTATCTTTACAGCAGTCAAAACAAATGCTAAGGCACTCTACATTTCAGATTTCAATACAATTCAGTCTCATTTCTTATCTCTTCTTTTTTAAAATCTTCAATTTTTATCATCTGTTGTCTTTTCCTATAGCATTAAAGCCCAGAATACAAAAGGAACACTAATTCTCCATTCTATTCTACACTGAGTGTTCCTTTTACATTTCAGCTGCAGACATACACCAGTAATATGGTGGATAATTGGATATTCAATGAAGCAATGAAACATCTATATTTGAAAAGCAAGATACTTCTGTTTGTAGCTCATTTTCTTCCTGTAAGGACATGAAAAGAAAATCTGTGCTGCCGCACAGTTTGTAGAAGCTTTGCTTTACCCCCATGCTTCCATATCTCTTTCATCTCATCATAACCATTAAGTATCTACCACGTACAAGACACTCTGGTTGAGAATGATTTATGGAAGAAAAACAGGCATATAGATGACATTTGTACACATCAGACATTAATTTACAATAAAATGTAAGCTTATTTCATCAACCTATACAACAACATGTGAAACCCAGGGATTCAACAGCCCTCATTTTCAGGTTTGTAGTGGCCACATGCTATCTCATCTGGGATCCAGTGATACAGCTGGATTTACAACATCACCAAATTTTAGGAAGTGACAATGCTACAATCAGATCTATATAGAAGCACAAGACACTTATAGAAAACCTCATTTAGGACTGCAGAAACATTGATAATGTAAAGAAACTCCAATTGTCTCACTAGACAACACAGAGTAACTCATTCTGCAAAAGGACATGCTCCAGTTATGGTCTATAGGGCTGTGATCTCAGTAGTAAATCAGGTGTTGGAAAGAAAAAAAGAGATTGGCTCTTCTTATGTACTTTATATACATATAAATCCACAGTTCTCAGAATATATAAACAAAGCTGCATATTATCAGATTTCACTACAAGAGAAGCTAATTAGACAGGGACTAGCAATGGCAGACACTTTTCACAGAAGTGAAGAGAACAACATTCTAGGCAGATGGGCCACTGCTCTTTCAGCAGATGGCTCCGTTAATTAGGTACTGGCAAAAGATAACATTTAAAAAAACTAGTTTAATTACACAGCACCAAAAATTAACAATCACCTGAGGGCTTTTTCATATGTTTGTATTCATATTCTTATGTATTTCTGTGACACACTAGAGAATATGACATTGTCATGTCAATTATAAACAAATTGTCAGGGAATGTGAGACTACTTCTTTGTTCAAATCAAACAAAACTCAAATGAGTTGGAACTTGAAACAATTGTGATGTATATGTGACTTGAGTAAAATGTCACCCTAGTAATCCTGAGAACAGACATCTTCCCCGTTACTGTTAGTGGCCATGCACGCCAGTTTCAAAACTAGTCACACTTGAGTTGAAACTCACTGTGTGCATTTGCAGTCACAAAGAAATA